TAAATGTGATACTATCTGTGAAATTAATTCTAGCATTATATATTTTCCCACTCAGCTTTCAGCTGAGCGTGTAGTCTTGTTGTCTTTGACTGCACGCAGGTAGGGATTTGGATCAGGAGGGCCAGCCTGGAGGACGTTGAATGTCGTTGATACGTGACATCGTTGATGACATCATCATTTTCATTTATGAACATTAAATTAATGTGTTTATTAATTACTTGGTTTAAACATTGATTGTAGAACATTTTTATAGGTTTCCGCACATGATGGACTTTACTCCGAATGTTTTGTATTTAATTGTGTTTGGATGTTTTTGAATAATTTGTCTAAATTGTTGTGCCGTGAATACCAATTTAGTAGCAATCCGATTCGTTAACTCTTCGGTTCGGGTTACGCGAGTTGGGGTGAGTTTCTAAAGCTATGTTTGTAGCTTTTGTGTCCTTGTCTCCTTCATGGGTGGCTTTTAGGAGCTTTTCTCCTTCACCATAGAAAACTCATCTTGACCCAAGGCACAAAACAAAACATTTAATGCTTTGGCATTCAAGGAGAGTTTTTTCTTGTCGTCGGGAGTAAGTTTCTCCATTGGTGTAGGCACTCGCTTTTCACCTACAGTAGTCATAGGAATAAACAGGCCATTAGTGGTGACAATCCATAAGTCAAAATCAATGGATTGAATGAAGTTATCCATTCCCATTTTCTAATAATCGTAGTTATCACCATTGAAGAATGGTGGCTTGGTGATGCTTTTGGAACTCATAGAATCCATGTGTCGTAAAAAGTTATTCAAAAAGTGAATTGGAGAAGGTTAATATTCCTGCTCCGATACCAATTGAAAATCGGTTACATGCACCAAAGACGGGGGTGAATTAGAGTGTTTAACAGTTTTTCGTAAAAACAAAAACTTAGGCACAAAAAGAATAGCAGAAATAGAGCAAAAAAAGTAAGAATATTAAAAGTACGACACAATCTATTTTATACTAGTTCGGGAACTCCCTACTCCAGTACCTCGAGGCTCCTCAAGGATTTAACCTACACTAACTTGTTTGGCTTCACTAAGAAGACTCAAACGAGGTTTGGCAAACAACCTTTGCCAATAAGCAAATGAGATTTTACAACGGTTATCTCGACCGCTTACAAACCGAAGATTTGAATGCTATCTTCAACCTTATAACACAATGAGGATTTAAAGGTTATCCATACCTTTTACAAAATAATAGAAATGGTTGTTGCTTCTCTACCAAATAATCAACAATATGAGTTGGATAGAAGAAGAACAAAGTATAAAATCAATAACAACAATAGCCTATAGGCAAGATATAAAATAATGAATAACAAATGCCCTTGTGCGTGATTGTATAAAAATAATGAAAGCTTTATACTCAAAAGAATAAGAAGAATAAGAACAAAGCTTGAAGGAACACTCAAGAATATAGAAATATGCTTTAGATTGAGTAGGGATGTTTTTGTATTAAAAATGAGACTTAGAGGGGTTTATATATAGGAGCTCGAAGGGTTAAAATTGAGTTTTTGACGTTTAGGATAGCTGGGAAGTGATTTGGGGTAATTTAAATTTGAATTAAAAATCAGCTACAGGAACCGCCAACGGACACGGTAGCTTTCACGGTAGGGGGGTGCCATCCGGTACCTAGGTACCATGACCACGGTACAGCCTACTGCCAATGGGTACTGTGTAGTACAAAAAACTTCAGCAGCTCTGGTGAAACCTAGCTCCAAACGGTAGCCTCTTTTGTTCAGTAGCCTACTGGCAGTACCTAGGTACCGTACCAACGGTAGAGGGGTACCGTGCTACATGTGGTAAGGATTACCACGGTACGGTCACTTGGCTGCCTTTGGTACTGGGGTACCGTGTACATGGTAGTCAGGTACCGTGAGGCCTGATACATTTTCCAAAACTTGATTTTTGTGTTCTTTTTCCAAATAACCCCAACTAAGAATATGTTTGACATTTTAGAAATAATATTTTGAGTGAAAGGGCATAAGTATTTCATTAATTACATCACTACGTTTACACAAATGTTTCTAAACCCATAGGAGTACATCTCAGTGATGCTAGTCCAGTTAGATGAGGTTTGACATTTGATTTCTTCCTGCAAATAACATTATTAACATTTGAAGACTTATTTGGCACATCAAAATAGCTACGAGGTACGACATTCAAGGCCAACAAGAAGAAGAAGAAAAAGAAGGAGAAGAATAAGAAGAAGAAGAGGGAGAAGTCGGAGAAGAAATCTGGAAAAGAGGGAGGAGGGAGAGAGAGAGAGAGAGAGATGAATAATGTGCAAGAAAATTGGAGGGGAGAAAGAGAATGGAGTATTTGGATGAGGGATATTTTTGGAAGGGTTGATATGAAAAAGTAGAATGGGAATATCATTTCTGGACAAAAAAAATGTATAATGGGAATATCATTTCTAGACGGGGGAGTATAATATATAGAAATGAGGGAACACTATAATTGATCTAATGGACTTGGACCCTTATAAAAACTCTAAACTTTATTAACTTTAAAATCTTAAATAATAAATACAAATTATCTATTCGTTCATTAAATACACTAATCACCGTGCGTACGTATCAATTCTGAGACTCACATTCATGCTTATTATATATTACTCCCTTCGTTCCTTTAAACCATTTCCTTTTTGACTTTAGGTCAAAATAAAGAAAGTATAATTTTGATCAACTTTTCAATTTTAATTTATCTCTGATGTGATGAGTAAAAATAAGATGTGATAGTTTGATTTTTAATGAAAAAAGTATGATGTGATAGGTAGGGTATGAAAAAGTATGGATAAAAGTGATTTTTTAATAGAAAATAGAATTGGAAAGAAACGAAAGAGGAAGAGTTTTATGGATTGGAGGGAGACTTTTTAACATTAATATCAATCACATAATCTCACGTTTCTTAATTCTCTTGTCAGTCTTGCCTCATGTCTTCAAAATAGTGGGAGGAAGGGTATTACCAAACAGCAATATATGCAGCAATATATGCTAGGTTCACTAATAGAATTGTCACAAACTTCACAAACTTATCATTTATTGTTTAAATTTTCATTTTAAAATTATGTTAGACTATTTATTTTTTATATATATATTGAAGTTCACAAATAATAAGTTTGTACATTTTGTGTGTGAACCAAACATGTCTCATTACCAAATGTACTACTACCATAATAAAACTTGCACCATAATTAAAATTCTTAATACACGATAAATTCAGACGAAACTTAAAACTCAATTTCAAAGAATTGAGATCGGGAGGGGGGGAGCGGAGAATATATTTATTTAAAAACATACTCCATACTACACTCCATTCATGCATGTGGACTAGGAAAGATTGTCTGAAAAATTAGGAAACAAGCTTCTCTAGTTCGTGCATGTGAATGAAGCCAAAGATTGTCAGTTCGCCATCACAGGCCATTAAATCCCCCCCGCATCCCACAACGTTTCTAGACGGAAACAAAAATTATTCGGGGCTTAAGTTGTTTGCCGAACCAAAATAGTTAAAATTGAACAGTGTAGTTCGGTAAGTAGACCTAATTAACAAATGTGGTTTTTTTTTTTTGAAAATTTTCCTTCTCTAACACTTAACATAAAATGCTTTTTTGTTAGACAATGGTAATTATTATCTATATTATAGTAGTCTTTATATTTTAGTCCGCTTTTATATATATATATATATATATGATTGACTCCAGTGAGATGACGTCAAGCTTACCACACTACACTACAAAGCTCACCACTTTGAAAAAACTCACCCTTTTTTTTAAATTTTGAAAATTAAAAAGTTAATAAAAAATAAAATAGCAACACCAGTCAACCACCGGTCAGCGGCGGCGCCAGGTGGAGGTTTCCGGCGACCGGCGGCGGTTGCCGGCGACCAATGAAGCACCAACGACGACCGGCAGCGGATCGACTGTGACCGGCGACTGGGGGCGGCCGACGACAGGGGTTGCGGTCAAAGGTTGTGGTCAATGGTCAAAATCTAGACAGCACTCCTTTTATTTTATTTTTTCAAAAAAAATTCAAATTGTTGAAAAAATATTGTGAGTTTTACCTTACAGTTTGGTGAGCATTATAGTTGTCTTTGGTGAGCTTTGCAGTGGCCAGTGGTGAGCTTTACGATTTAACCGTAGCATGTCATCTCACCGAGACGTTACATTACAAAAAATTTTACGCCCGACTCAACCCGTGTAACAGGCCTAACAATTGAAGCTCGAGCCCAGCTCGCATGAATACCTACGGGCTTCGAGTCAACCCGACCCGGCTTGCATGATATAATGACTGATGAATATACTACGGAGTATCAAAAAATCAACAAATATAAACAATGCGTTTTGTTTGATAATGTTGCTATTACTTATTCGAATGCTATTATAAAAGTGCGATTAATAATACCAAATGAATTCATTTAATTAAATGTACCATTAGCTTTTCTAAATAGAAATATGTATGTGTAATAATACTCCGTAGTAAATAAAATTGTCAATCGTACGAAAACCAAAAGGTAAGTATTTGAATGTTTATTGTTTAAAGACTTCCAAAATCAAATCTGAAGCCGCCTCAGTATCAAGCAATTGTGTTAGTTTTTTTTTTTTTTTTGAAAATGTGTTAGTTAATATTGTACAAGATGACTACTAATACTATATTCACACATACGAATGTCAAGTACCGACACAATTCTCAACTAGTTTCATTTAGGGTACTTTAATATAATCTTTTTTACTTATATTTTTTCTTTATATACAAAACATTTTTTGTTATATCTAATTGTATTTAAATTTTAATCTAAAATAACTTTTAGCTAGTAATTCTTGGTAATAAGACCAATTTTTTCTTTGCCCGGAGCCTAGGAAATCCTAGGAACGGGCCTGAATATGACTAAAAAAACTCACATGTCATAATATAAGAACTTTAAAAGTTCGATGATGTCTTTAAATCCCAAAATATATGTCAATAGGTAGATTGGTGACAGACCATCATTATCATCAACAAATTTATGGTTCTAGTTCAGAAATATGGAGAACAAAGCCAACTACATTACAAATTGTTGCCAATGTTTTAACTTCAAGTGGTCAAATATCCAAGAGGAACTAGTGCCCGAAAATACGTAAGAGGAAGGATTAACTTGGCATAAAGAGACCACAATAATAACTAAAATCACACCTGCACCATATTTCTGACCTGGCTGTGAGGTAATCCATTCATGCAACTTTATATTTTCTCCCTTGGGAAAGCAGCCAAAAGTTGTTTCTCGAATTCCAACAAACTGAAAAGGGTTCCCGTACAAATAAAAAAAACAAGTTAGCGAACAGCACATTGGGCCGGGCCTTCAAAGTTCCAAGCCAACCCACAATTAATATTCAAAGAGGAGAAGATTATCATCTCACATTTCATACTTCCTAATAGCTTCAGCTTGCTTTACTTTATACACTTCATTTTCTTTTGGTAGGCTGCTCACATCATTGCCTACACTGTTACCTGCAAAATGTATGTGATAAGCAGAGAGACAGAAGGAAAAATGAAACCCTAATTAGGGTAAAAAAATGGCATACCGATCAAAGAGAACTTGCAAATTTCAACCAGCTTACCCAGGAACCAAGAAGTAAACTTTTAAATCGTTCAAGAAAAAATGATCACCCAAAATCATGGAAATGATGATTAGTCATCAAATTATGCCATAATCGTCGATTGATTGAGGATGAGAATTTCGACCTAATGCACAGGAGCATGCCCAGAATAAGCTGCACTGTCAAGTAATCAATGGGTACCGAGCTAACAAAATGTGATGGGTAAAGAATGAAAGGGAAATAGAGCTAGTTTTCATTCGGAACCGTACTTCCTGATATAGTTTTTACAAAATGGTTGACCCTAATTAGTGTGTTCCCAAATTGTATGGGCCCAGCCAATATTAGAGTACTTCTGTGTACATACAAGTACTCCGTGCGGACTTCTCTCTGCTCTACCCTAATTCTCTTCGTTTGTGTAGACTGTTTATCTTTTCAAAATATTAGTCTTTCAAAGCATTAGCTTCTTGTAACAACACTAGGGTTCTGACTGAACCATTCAAACCTCTGCAACTGGCATCCCAACTTTCTGATCATAGTCACAATCCAAACTCACAGGCAAAATCCAAATGCTGTCATCTTTGCCGCAAACGCACACGCCACGACCTTAAGCCACCTTCGTTTCAAGCACCAGCACTTGCTTGTAATTCTAAAAAACTGTGTGGCAGTAGCAATCTTCCCGCTGTAGAATTCTAGCCAGCCTAACTCACAGCACTCAGCAGACCTTTGAAAACATAATCACTAAGTACTCACGAAGGAACTCAGACTCTTGGGAACAAAGAAAGAACTTTGTATGGAACTCTTAAAAGTGCTTACAATGCTCTAGACTTCGTTGTGTTTAATGGGAAGGGATATTTATACTTCTCCACTTCCCCAACGAATGGCTAAGATCTGCTTGATCTAACCATTACAATCGTGCATCTAGAATTTTCTATGCAAATATCAAGATATTTACACATCTCTACATTTCTCTTAAGAATTTTGGAATCTTCCAAGATTCTGAATATAGTCCTACACAATTCGAAATGACTCCCACCTCTGGAAATTACTCGATGGGCAAAAACCTTTGACTTCACGTTCTGACACAACACAAATAATGGTCTGCACATTTTTCCACTCACCTCTATTCAGATCATCCTTGTCTTCTTTGAATGGATTTAGCACGCTCCAAGCCTCAAATGAACAAATGGGATGCATCTCCTAGTGTAAGGCAAAGTCAAACCATAGGCTAGCTTATCGGTAAATTTCTCCACGGGAAACGATCTCTGGACTTGTGTAGAGAACTTTGTGCAAGGAACCTCTGCAAATTTGGGACACAGCGCATGGGCCTCAACTGCTTACTAGAATCTTGATTGGTTGGCAGCATCAATGCCCTATCTTCTGGTTTTTTGGTTTCATACTGCTATTTATGCTCAGGTTTATATGTCCTCAAATTTTGTGGCCCAGGTAACTGTTGCATGTTGTATTGGCTTTGCTTGTTGTTGTCCTCAAATATGCATCACTAATATGTCATACATCCCCTGCTCATTAAGAATCAAAATTAAGTTCCACAGAGAATGAGGTGATTGTTGGACTGACACGAGAAACAGGACTCCACTAAAACTTTTGGTAAATAGTCCTCAAGGTATTGTCTTTCAAATCAGTTGATGTATCTTAAATATCGGCCCGGTTCTAGTGACACCGGAAAACGGTGCCACTAGCGGTGCCACTGCATTTTTGGGGCACCTCCGGTGCTCCGTTCGTAAAATTGACGGTTCCTACCCCCCCTAACCCACCCCCTAAACCCCCCATCCTACCCCCNGGCTATTATGCAATGTTGGATGATGTTCTAGAACAAATTGAGGGACCGTCAAAATTGTAATGGATGATGCAACTATAAATAAAGCAGTTGTAGATTTGTTAAGATAAGAGGAAGAAGATATTTTGGACATCATGTGTGCGGTGTACCTCACTTTATGGACCATATGTTGGAGGGTTTTGTGAAGAAATACTACTTCAAAGAGATTAAAGAGACAATTCATAGTGCCAAAAGGAATACAACTTAGTTCTATTCACGTACATGTCTTATTTCTTTATTGCATATATTAACTAAGGGGGGTGAATTGATTTCACACGGCATGACTTGTTTTGCCACCACTTATATGACAACATTTGGATGCGCACATCATCGCATGGTAATAATGGATCACTAATAAGCATTGGAAAGAGACGCCTAAGGCACAGACCTGGAGAGTCATAGACTATGTGCAGAACTAAGGTCATGGTTACCGAGCAAGAGTACAGCGGCTTAGTCATGTGACGGTAACAGATAATGCTTAAAATTTTTAAAGGGATTGGATTGGGCTTCTTAATTACTCCCTTCGTCCCATATTTAAGTTTCAAATAGAAATGTCAGCTTTGCTTTAGGACATCAATAAAAGGAAAATAGGAACTTAAATATCGGATACAACAACAACAACAAAAACAAGAACCCTGTTGAATCACACCAGAGCTTAAATACAGGATAAAGAGAGTAAAAAAAATAAAAACTTCACTTATCCATAGGCTCTTATTCACTTCTTCAAAATGATACCCACACTATTCACCTTATGATCGCTCCAAGCATCTGTGACACGCCTTCTTTAACATTCCCACACGACTCAATCTGCGGCCAGCGTTCTACACAATGACCAACCCTAGTCCCTATCACTATCTTTGTTTCATAACCTGCAGCATTGTGTAATCCTTGGAGTTTTTCCTTTGCACTTGTTCTTCATTTAGTGTGTTACTTGTATTTCCACATCGTTTTTTTAAAGATAATTTTCACTTTGATTCCAGATTTTATCCATGTATAGTTATAATTATTTTAACCAGAGAAGGGTAAGGGATAGTATTTTTGAACCCCCTCAGTACCAGTGTACTTGTCCGGTTTCCTTTTGGCAATTGGACTAAGGAGAAGGGAATCAAGGGTGAAGGGTTTAACTTACAGAAGCACCCTTACTTTTCCAGGAAAACAATTACCTTATTTTCTCTCCCTCGCGAAGCCTGATTTTAAAAAGAAAAACCATCATGAATCACCTAGAAACAAAAAAACTATTCATTTGAGAATCTCTTGGAAATTAAAACCCTGATTGCACCATCACAAAAAATACAGTTTTTAAAACTAAATCTCTTATTTTGACAGTAACTTCATTTTTCTTCTTCCATATTGCCTAAACTCCACTCTCCCATAAGAATTGGATAGGGCCAAATTTGTGTCAGATCCAATATGTGATTCTGTATATGCATAAATAACCCCTAGTTTTGCCTAAATCAGTTTTTTCTCTTGCACGTTGTGTAGGATTTTGTGATGTTCATAATATTATTCATTTTTTAGCAATGATATTATCGTAGCAAATTCGATCTAGGCTATTCAAGGTGCAACTTCATGTACCTATCAAAATACGGAGTACATCTCAGATACGAACAATAATTAATACTATTCGCTGCCATATTCATTTTGGCACAAGCATTACAAGATTAACAAGTACGTAAACACTACATAACACAATACAAATAATGATGTCAAAGCAATTACCAGCACACTGAATCATAGAAGGTTGTTTCTCATCCCTACTTTCAAGAAGTTGTGTTGAGCATGAACTGCTGGAAGGAGCCAATACCTACAAAACAAATTGAAGTGTAATTATACTGTTTATAATTGTAGGAGCCTAGTAGGATGCTGTAGCACTCGCTATGTTGTGAAATACAATACATCAGACCCTCATATTGCAACGATGTGGATACAGATCATTGGTGTTGGCTATAGCTCATAGGTTAAAAATTGTGAAAGATCATTAGTTACATGAAAAATGACATCAAGAATTCAACATTATGCAATCCCGCTACATAACCAATTCCAAGTTCACAAGCATGCTCAGAGTGATAATTTCACGCATAAAATGAAGATTGCGGACCTCAAATGACAATTTTCTAGAAGCCTGATGTCCAGAATTCTCTGACTAGAATCTGAGTGATAACAACAGCAATAGAAACAACAAAAACAAAAACAATAATAACAACAACAACAAAGCCTTTATCCCAAGTAACTTGGGGGAGTTGGGGTTGGCTACATGAACCAAGAGGAGAAAATTCGTATTTTAGATAAGATAGAGGTCGAGGATTAGAGTTGTGGGGTAGGTAAATAAGAGTGGTTTTACGCGTGTTTAGGGACTTGTTGATTAACTATACAGACTGGTGTCTTTCGTGGTTGAGCCTGAGGCCTTTCAAAAACAACTTCTCTACCTTTTTCTAGGAAGGGTGAAGGTCTGCGACTCTGTGTCCAACCCACGACATAGACACACTTATGGGATTTTCCTGAGTAGATTATTGCTTTTGTAGTGGAAGAAATTTAAAAAAATAGGTCCTAGCTCTGGTTAGTTTAAGATTACTAATCCTAGTCACTAGTCAGGTTATGAATGTCATAGAGTAACTAGAGCCTATAAATAAGGCATTACTTTTTTTCTTGGAAAATAATCAATTTCAACTCAATTTCAGCTTAACTGCTACCTAGCTTCGTTGCTGAAGCTAACAATTATTATTTTCTAAACACTAGGTCAAGGCATCTGGCCCATCAACGAAGAAAGACTGATGCACAATTGCCATAGTGATGTTTTTTTCAAGCCATAGTGATGTTAAATCACAATAGGTATCATTACCCACCCCCTCTATATTCTATACAATTTGCTTGTCAAATGCTTGAAGATTAAAGATCCCTAAACTCAAATTTATGCCATTAAATACTATGTAGCTGTTATGAGAAAGGAATGTCCTAATCAGATAATCGAATTGAATGAAATCAGTTCACTAAAAAAGCAAATAGGCCTCCATCCTTTTGAGGAGGGAATAAACAAAACCAAAATTACTTGAAAGCATAGGTCAAATCTTAAAATTACCTTCCCCCTTTTCTTTAGAATTTTCACATGACACTTTTTTATGTAATGCATCAAATGGTAACGTGAATGCCTTGAGGATAACTGATCTCTGACGTCTACATTCTCAGTAAGCCAATGTAAAATGTCTTTTGACTTTACCACCTCATCCGTATCAAGTGACTCTAACCAAGAATAAACAGGCTTCCATTGATCAGTGCGTTGAAATCGGTGATCAAATGCACATTCATTTTCCTGTAATATTAGAGTTCATTGCTTAGTTCTTTACCAAGAGTGACGGTAAATTTCTTTTGCAAGTCACTTTGCACTACCGTGTGATACTATGAGCAAGTCCATGAATGAGAAAGTATTGGAACTAAAAAATGCTCTGTTTGAAAACTATAAATATATTTTAATTTCAGAATATGGCTCAAATTCTTGTTTGGGAATCCTTGGATTTGTGCTCAAATCACAGCACACGGAAGAAAGTAGATTCATTAATACTTCAAACTTCATAAAGAATACATGGAATTTCAATTCCGTCATCTTCTTTCTCGCACATTAGACGTCACCAACTAAGAAAGCCCCTACTCTGACACAAGGAAGATTTGCAAGTGACATGGGTCTGGAAATTTCCACAAAGCAACCATCATTGACTAGGGTTTCTATTTTTCCAGTTAGCCTACAGGAAGACATATTGAATCATTATGTTGTTGTAATAGTATTAAATCATCTTAATGATGTGATATTTATAATAATGTAATTATGTTCACCTAGGACTAGTGTTTAGCTAAAAATAGCAACTGCAATTCACAATCTAGATTATGAAATAGACACCACATTTCATCACATTGCATCACTGTATCACAGCCAACTATTTTCATGTATGAACAGTATAGCGTTTTGACGTGATTAAAAGTTTTCCAGAATGTATATGTCACGACTCACTGTCGGAATCCACAATCAGATCTTCATTCACCTACCCCCATAAGCCGACTACAGACAAACAAACTAACTGTTTTTTCCCATCCCACCACATTCGTACATCTTTCATCAAACTTGCCATCATAGATTCCTTGGCATGTTTCTTACACTCCTGGCATGTTTCTTACACTCCAACAACTTTGCACAAGTTTTTTCGGTGTCATCAAATCACCCCCCTCACCGCAAACAATGCATCTAAACGCCATATGACATCGTTGATTCTAATGCATCGCCACTACCGACCATTGCAGACAGAATTCTATTTGGATTTATCTCATCCCTGTCCAACTGTAGAAATAGCATCCGGGTTCTGCAATTCTGCTCATTTGCAACTGTTCCCATCAATACTACTGAACACTTGCTCCACAGCTCTAACTATTAGTCATGGGTGCAGGACTAGTTCTGTGAGCATATGGTTCAAAATCAAAGGACAATCCGCTCAATTATCTATGAATGTGACCACCATTAGAGAAAAGAAAGCAGAATAAGACTCATTACCATGTAATGTAATGTGGTGATCTATACAACAACAAAGCCTTTTCGCACCAGGTGGGGTTGGCTACATGGATCAAACAACGACATTGCGCCCTATCATGTATCATACCTGCTGTGAGATCAATACAATAACTTTACCCCAGTGCCTCAAAGGCTCCGCCCATTGCTGTGAAAACAATAAAGCAAAAAAATCGCCCTACTTTTCAATCATAGGAACATGTAAACAGTTTTGGGCAATAACCTGACAAGTTATGCCAACGACAAGCTTGTTTTAATATCGATCCAAAATAGTCAATTTCTAAACTGGGATCTCCAAGATTTTCCTGACCGAGATGGAAGTGTTTCTCTTTTAATACAATAGTATTGAACCTATTGAAGAAGGCAAGCAACAGTTAGCACAAAAGCAACTTGTTATGGCATTTTCCTTCATGGGTCTGCATCCAAAATTACAGTCCATCCATGAGCAAATTCATTCCTGTCCCACTAATCCTAGTATCCTACAACTGTGTATGCCCTCACAAGAATTTTTCAGCACCAATTTTGATAGAACACCTCTCTCCTGAGTGTATTCTACTTGCCTCACAAGGCCATGAAGGATGCTCGGGCAACCAAAGAGAAAACCCGTGAGAACTGTCCAAAATGTGATACTTCTTGTATTCATAAGTTAATATGTTTGAATGGGTACTTTTGTCATTGCTTCACCCTTTCCAATTCGATGAATTGTTAGATTGCATCATAGAAAAACACCTTGAATGTCGCCTATATGCTTGCAATAGAAACATTGAGGATGATAATCTCCTCCATGGCCTAGACCACCACACCCGTGATTTCTATCACCACAATTTGATGAATAGGAGAAAAAGTGTAAGGCTTCTAAATCAGCTGAGACCTGAGAGCCAATCCCGAATGAACACATAAGCCGTAGAACTCATAAGAGATGATCCATGAGTTCTTCGACAGTAGGTTTGTTGGGTTCCGGATAAAATCGGAGTCCTTGGGTAATCAACTCATATTATCAAGTTTTGCAAGTTTATTAGTACGCTCACATTACGGGATGTTTTACATTATCAATAATAAATAGTCTTATCGAAGAAGTGGCCAGTAGAAAGATGAGTATCGAACATGTGAACAGTGGCCAGATTGTGGAGAGCAATATAAGGGGCATCCACAATTGTTGGCTCTTTAAAGCTATCCACGTCATATTTTTTTTCAAATCATCAAAGAAATTCTCTAAACATCACAAACTCCATCTATCCTCGATCATAATTCCTCACATTTGGGCTCGCTTATTTTATGAAAAATAAATAAATAAAAACAAGATTGCTAGTTTTGTGATGGAGGCCCACCCTTCCTCTCCTTTTCATTATAAGCTCTGGGAGCAATGTCTCGCTCTGAAGCCAAAGAGAACCATCTTTTGGCTCCTTTCCTATTTAAAGCTTTCCAATTGACTTTGCATTGGAGTTGCACTAAAGGAAATGAAGACAATTAGAATGAACCTTTTTAGGCTTTTTCCATAGATCATGTCCTCTATGGACAAAAAGGTAACATTAGTTTAGGGTAAAAGGTTCATAGCATTTGGTTGTTAAAATAGTATTGCATCATCTTAATGACATAAGATGTATGAAGTAATTGTGTTGATTGTTGACTTATGATTAGTGTTCACCTACACGCCTGTAGTTCACAATCAAGAGGTTGAAATCGGTACATTTCATTTCACCATAAGCCTTTTCTAAAGGCAAAGGAGAAATTAAATAATTGGAAACCCTAATAGGTATGAGTTTTAAAATAGTATTGCATCATCTTAATATCAAATAATAAATACTCTGTATACAACAACAGACCTAGTAAAATCCCACACAGTGAGATCACTGGGTGTTAATGTACACAGGCCTTACCCTACCTGAATAGTAGAGAATTGTTTCCAAGAGACCTTTGTTTCAAGACAAAGAAGCAAAACGACAAACAAAAGTAGCCCGAACAAAATAAGATCGCAAACAACTGAAACACACATATATAAACTAAAAACTCATACACATAGCACACATACATAAGCTACAGCCTAAGGCATTAAAGCAAACCTGCAATAATTACAAACTAAGGCCCAAAGGTCTATCCAATCACCCAAATCATACACCTCCGGACGTTCTTGCCGAATGTCATATCAATACTGTCTAATCATATTCTTCCAACTCTTCCTAGGTCTAGCTCTACACCCTCACGCCCCCAACCGCAAGCTTCTTGCAACTTCTCACAGGAGCATCCGTACTCCTCATAACAAGCATAAATCATCTCAGTCTCGCAGCTCTCCACAGAGACCAATCTCGCCCTTCCCTGAATAACCTCATTACGAATCTTATCCATCCTCGTATGACAACACATCCACCTCAACATTATCGTCTCTCCCACTCAAAGCTGTCCAATGTGAGTTCTCTTCACCACCCAACACTTTGATTTGTACAACATAGCCGGTTTAATCATTGTTCAATAAAACTTCCCTTTTAGGTTTGTCAATATCCTAATCAAGGACCTTTACTCACAAAGGAGACTTGAAGCTAGCTTCCGCTTTTCAAAACGAATCCAATACAATGAACAACATCTCCAACTATCTCCCCATCGGCCGGAATTACGGATCCAAGTTGCAAAAATTTGTTTTTTTCAGGCACTGGATGCAAATAAATCTGCACTTTTAATTCTGACTTAGTTTTCCAACCACAGAAACACCATTCTGCGTACTTGGTGTTAGTCTTGCTCAATATGAAACCATTGGATTCCAAAGACTGTCGCTACAATTTCAACTTATCATTGTGTTCCTCACGTGTATCGTCAATCAGAACAATGTCGTTGCAAATAACATGCCCCAAGATACCTCACCCGGAATATGCCACATCAAAACATCCATCATCGATGCAAACAAGAAAAGGACTAAGCACAGATCCTTGATGTACCCACATATCAACCAGAAACTGGTCAAAGTAACCTCCCAATGAACTCACAATGGTCCTTGCCTCACATCATACATGCTTTTTACCACACGACTGTAAGCAATCGGTAACCCTCTGAACTCTAAGCACCTCCATCAAATCTCCTTAGAAATCCTATCATTAGGTCAATAAACATCGCGTGCACATCTCTCTTATTGTCCGTATGCGACTACATTGGTCTCCTCAACAATCTCATTAAGAAGTGAATGGCCTCGGTGGTTGAATGGCCAGGCATGAAACCAAACTTAACTTCAGAAATGTCCACCTCCTTCTTCGGCGCCGCCTCAATGATATGTTCTCATACCTTCATTGTGTGACTAAACAGTTTGGTGCCTCTATAATTATACTCCCTCCGTCCATTTTTAATGTTCGTACTTTCCTTTTTCGTCCGTCCACAAATAAAGTTCATGTTTCCTTATTTGGTAATTTTTCTTTATTGAATTGACACAAATACCCTCTACTTTATTATCTTCCCTTCTCCTTTCTTTCCTTTCCCAGCCACCTTCTCGCTTCTCCCAATTTCTCTTTCTTCTCCTTTTCTCCCTCCTTCCTTTCTTTTTCTTCTCCTATTTTCTTCTCTCCAGAACCTTCCCCACCAATTTCTCTTTCTTCTCCTCTTTTTCTTCTCCTTTTTTTTCTTCTCTCCAGTTCGATTTTTCTCTCTTCTTCTTCTCTATTTCTGCTTGTTCTTCTACTTTCAGTACTGATTTTTCCTTTCCTTTTTTCTTCTCTTCTTCTTCTTTATTTTCTTCTCCCCAGATTTGGCCATCAGATCGCTCATCTCTCCAATTCATTCAGATTTGACTTCGATTCAGATCCGTAAAGGAGGTCAACATCAACAAAGGATCTTCTTCTTCTTCTTTAATTAAGTATTCTGATCTTCATCTTCTCCTTCAAATAATTTTTAATCTTCTTCATATCTTCGATTCTTCCACCTTGCTGTGGGAATAGCTCGAATGGGACCTTAAATGATGCGTGCGAAAATTCTAAAGTGTTGAGGTTGGAAAAAATTCTATGGAAATTCGATCGATTTAATCGTTGGAGATTTGCAGGGCTGCCTAGTCTGGAATGAGGGGGAAGAGGGAATAGTTGGGGGAAGAGGGAGTAGTTGGGCTACAGGATGGGTAGGGAAGTGGGGGGTATGGTGGAGGGCATTTTGGTAAAGTCAAAGCAAATTTTAATTTTTATTAAACTCCGTGTCCGGTCAAACCCTGAACATTAAAAATGGACGGAGGGAGTAGCAACTTTGGATATCACTTTTGCTCTTGTACAGGGGGACCACCATGCTCTCGCTCCCCTCATTGGCCATCTTAGTCATCTTGAAAATAACATTAAATAACATGGTGATCAACACCCACCCATTGTTGCTCACAATCTTCTCTAATCTAGGTCTCTCCCTCTCTCCTCCTAAGAAAGGCCTTCACCACATCTTCGTGTCTAATGCACCTATGTGATAATACCCAAAATATTAATGGCTCTTAGACTACCCAACTCAACTAGTAGAAAACTCACGTCCCTTCCAACATTTAGAAGCCCATAAAAGTGCGTATACTAACGGTTCCTCACCTCCACATTGAACAACACCTTGCCAATGTCGCCTTGAATGCATCTCACATGCTCCAAATCTCACGCCTTCCCCTCATGCACCATAGCAAGTTGAAACAATCTCTCCTCGAATTCTCTCTTCCTCGTTGTTCTAGGTCCCTATACAGACATTCAAAAGTAGCATTAAAAGCCGTCAAACGGCCAACTTAGATTCCTTGCAATCTTATACTCCTTTGGTAATGACCCCTACCCTCCACATCTTTACACTCCATGGGCTTCTTGTATGCCGCTTTCTTGGCTTGAACTTTCCCTTTGAAATTCACCACTCCACCACATGATGAGTGCCACCCCACTAATCTCCCACACGCCTTTCTCTTGAACTCGAGAAGCCAACATTGGTGTCTTCTCATTACCCAAGCTCCCACAATGAATGTGAGGTGGTCCACCTTTATTCCTCTTCCTCGCCACCAAATTGAAACATTTATCACAAGTGACTTAGGTTGGGTTGTGAATTACTTTAGGGTCCTCGTGAAGCACTTTGTCACACAAGAAGAAGTAATCAATCTGCGACTTTCCCCACACGACTTCTTCAAGTGCTCAACAAATCTGAGGTGGTTCACATTTAGTCCACCTCTTCCTCCCCACCTAATCATGCATTTATCACGAGTAACTTGTGTAATTTGTGTTGGGTTGTAAGATTATCACTCAGAATTACTTTAGTGTCCTCGCGAAGCACCTTGTCACACCTACGCAAAAAGAAGTGATCAATCTGTGACTTCTCCCACACAAAATCATCAAGCGGTATTCTCACTTCTAGAAGAAAGAGTTATTGATAAGCTCCAAGAGTGAAACGCCAAGCATTCTTTACACCAAAATCAAACCCTCCATGCACCTCCTCAAAACCCTCAACAGCACCCCTGTTGCGACAATTGAAATTGCCTCCAATGATGAGTTTTTTAAAGTGAGATGCCCCATATCACCACACTAAACTCCTCCCAAAAGTCCCTCTTAACATCCTTGTCCATGCCTACATGGGATGCATGGGCACTCAAAACATTAATGGTAGTATAGTTCACCCACCCAACAAAACCTTAATCACCAACAACCGATCACTAACCCTCTTGACCCTGGCCACAGACTCCTAAAGATTAACAAAAATGTAAACTCCATTCTTGTTGACATTTTTGTTGACCAACCAAAAATGTCAACTCCATTCTTATTCTTCGAGGGGTGGAGTGATACAAGTTGAACCCGTCTACATCACACGCCTTAATGCCCACCCATCTATTTTCATGGTCGCGTGCAACATAAATCCTCCTCTTCTTAAGAACCTTCACCAACTCTATGGGTTTACGTGTCAAGGTCCCTATGTTCCACGCTCAAACCTAAACTAGGCACTCTCCTACACCTCCATGCTACCCCTCACAAACCAAGGAGGCAATTTAACATCACCACTACTAACCATAGCCACCTTACCCCACTCACACCCCAAACCCCACCACAAAAAAGGAACATTAGAAAAACCCCCTAGTACTTAGCCAAAACTATAGAAGTAAGACCGCAAAAGAAAACTACCACAACGAAGGACAAAAACAAACAATGCACCAACAAGTAAAGGAACAAGTGTATAAGTAAATAAGATTAAACAACTAACCCTTATTTACAACATATATAGTTCATACCATTATACATTTGCATCACAAAAAAGATTAATTTCTAAATCTCAATGATGCCAAGGATGTTTTGATCATACATGTTTTTTTTCACAAGAAGTACTTATGTGACCATCGACAGAGCAAAAATAGTTGAGACACATCACACAACTACATTAATCTTTTGAAAGAAAACATGTGCAGTATCCAGCACTCATGCAACAACGCAATCAGAATTCATATTCCACTAACGCTGTGTTTAAATGATTATGTAGATTTTAATAGAAGGAGACTAAAGTCACATACAGTTACAATGGAAGCTTCCTTGGCATCCATCTGATATGAAGTTGTTGAGCACACTAAGATCTATTTCAGCCTTATAGACCTGCACATAAATCAATGCAGAGAAAATGGTTTTAATTATGTCGCAAATAATACTTTTACATTAACAGCTTTAAAGGTATTAAGACTTCAGAACCACCATAGACCTAAAAGAGAATATAAAATACATCTAAATGATGTGCCTTTTTAAGTTATGAGCCCCCCCCACCCACCCACCCAAATGGCATTACACAATTCAGATAGCATAACTAACTCAAGACAACATAAGTACCTTCCCCAACTCTATATACTTCCCCGTCATAGAACC